CAAAATGATTGTTAGCACATTGGAAATAAGTCATGTACATGAGGTTATTTTATATTAAGCAGGTCATGAAAGTATCTTAATTCAGGATAGCATTATTTATAGTGAGCAAAATAATGTCTATAATACATGTACATGCACGTATATACATGTATGATCCAATCAGATATATACATTGTACATGTTACTATTATATAGTATCTCATATTTATATTTTATACCTGTACTTCCTTGGCACAAGAACTACAATGTGGTGTTAAAAAGCAAGGTCAGACTTGGAATATGACTCAGAATGTGAATTTGATGTTCCTTTTTGTGAGCACCTGTATCTTGCTAGTAGTGTGTCATGTATGATTTTGACAAACATAAGGTTTATCATGCATATAAATGTACATGCTTAGTATACCATATTGTTCTTGTAGTGGATTATTGATGAATTTTTTGTACTTGTAGTGTTTGATGATTATCATGCATGAATTTCATCCGATTATAGTTCGATGTAAACATATGTTCTATAATGGAGTTACAAGAAATACATAAGTTGGTGTGATTGGTAATAAAGTATGTTCACAATTACTATTTCTGGTATTGTTATTATTAGCATGTCTTTACGTTGATTCTTTTGATGTGCTTCTATTCGTATGCATTAAAGGTAATGATGGCTAAAAAGGATCTGATGATTCAGCAATATATTCATTGATTGATACTGGAATGTGCAATATGGTTAATGCCTATTCTGGATTTCGATTATTGTAAACTAATTGATTTCTTCATTACATGTAACTTAATATTTTGTTGTAACTCCTTGATTAGTAGTTGTATCGAACTGAAGTGGATTGCAGTTTCCAGCTGCATAGGTTTCACATTGTCATTGTCTTAGCAATATGATTATGTAGTAAGATAGAAAATATTGAGATGTTTTAACGTAATTTGTTATAGGTTATGATTCTAGTCGACATACTGTATATTCGTTTGATGACAGTAAGTATTTTCTTTACTAACTGTATATTAATGAATGCTTGCCAATGCATCTTTTGTTGTGTGCATGCATGTTCTCAATAACCATGAATGAGCAGATTGAATGGTGTATGTCTCAGTTACATGTACAGCGTATGTAAATGTATGATTCAATCAGAGCTTATTATGCATTGTGGAGCTATACATGCCATATTTGCACAGTAATTGTTGCAAAAAGCATGTATGCTATTGTTAATATTTGTTACTACATGTATAATTTTGTTTTCAAAATTTACACAGGTACATATTTTTAAAAAGGGATGCAATGTGGTGTATAGAATAAGGTCAGACTTAAAAAAATTAATATTAAGTGTTAAAGAAAAAGGTCAGACTTAGAAAGATATTTGAAAGCTGAAAGGCTATTTCTCAGTGTGAGCGCCTGTAGTATCATGTTAGTGGTTTGTAATGTATGTTTGTCACAAACATAAAAGGTACGCATGTACATTTTTAGGATACCATAATGTACATGTTGTGGATTATTGATGAATTTCTGGTTTTTTGTAGTGCTTGATTCTCACGCATGAAATTCATTCATTAATTGTGACCATAATTGACAAAAGGGCCCTCATGGCGGATTTTAAAATTGATTGTTATAATGGAAAATATCAATCTGTGAGTGCTTTGTTAGACAATCATTGTTTTTAAAAGTTTCATGGTAACTTTTTGCATCCTGTGGAGTAATTTTATGATAAATGGGGCTCAGGAAGTTGGATTTCTTAGGCTAGAAAGACAAATTTCACTACCCGCCATAAGGTACCTTTTGTCAATTATGGTCACAATTTATAGTTTGATAAAACTTCATATATGTACAATAATGGAGTCTCAAGGAATACAAAGTGGATGTGATTGGTAATAAAGTTTGTTCACTTGTACTTGTTAGTAATAGCCTGTGAGTTTACATTGCTTGCTATTGATGATGTATCTATTACATGTACTATTCCTTACAGGTGATTACAGCTGCAAATGATTAAAAAATTCAGGAATAAGGTGTGATGTAACACTACCATAGCATGATGAATTTCTAACGGTATTGTCTGCTTTTGCTTGTGGTAACGAAAGAAATCATCATTGTTACACTTTTTGCTGTAGCTCCTTGATAAGTGGTGGTATATTACGCAAGAGGAGGTGCCTGTTTCCAGCTGCATATGTGTCATTTAGTCGTACTCTTAGCAATGGAGTACATAGTAAAATAGAATATTGTGAGATTCCAAAGTGTTTTATGATGTGCTATAGGTTATGATCCAAGGCTTTAATTTTTCTGATGATTATATCATTAACTATGGCCACATTAAGTATTTCCATTAGTTGTTATTTAAGTGATGTAAATCGCGTTGTAGGAAGATTTAAGTCAAGCAGAAGTATTTGAATTGTTTTGCCTTTTTGAACACTCAATAATATTATTTGTGCATTTGTGCATAGATATTAGAGTAAATGAAAGGGATTGGAAACGGGGCGTAGCAACAGAAAATGCTAGTTGGGTCACCACGTGACAACCATCAGTGCTTCCCATCTCCTCCATTGGTGAAGTTGCGCTGGCAGGATTTCGAAGGAAATTTGAGTTGCTCCAGGATAGCGCTTGCTAATGATCTATAGCCTATTGCACAAAGAATTTTTACAGCTACCTACAGCAAGGTTTTTGTCTCTGTAAAGCTATTTTACAAACAGTTATAGGTACAACAAAATCAATTTTTTTTGATACACTTTAGCTCTTGTAACGAACTCAAACTTCATAGATTCTAACTCTAACCTGTATAACAACTTTTGAAAGTGTGAGCTCTTTCATATGATTATAATGGTTTCCAGTTTTACTTTGGCATGTTTTGAGAAAAGGGAGAATAATGAAATAAATGGCATTTTAAGGGTAAAAATGGGCTGTATCATTAAAACTATAACATTTTCTGTGCAATAGATAACAGTAGTGTTGAGAGGAAACATTAGGCTTCTTGATGCATCAGTTTCACTAACATGAGAACAGTCCTTCGCCAGATATTGCTCCTGAAAGAAGGAAAAGTAGCTTGAAAATAGTGACAATATCCCAACCCACCTCTGTATGCTTAGTTACAATACAAATGAATGGAGGTTGGGCTACGCCCACGCACCCGTTTCCAATCCCTTTCATTTACTTTATTATTTATGATTTGTGCTGTAATTTCTATTTTGGCTTTTTCTCAAAGAATTGATGTTTTATTATGTTATATTTAACAAAAAGGTTATCTTTATACATGTCATTAATAAAAGTTATAGTTCTTTGTTGAAGAATTCCGCCTGCCCCTGCGACCTCTTGGCCTGGCTCTTGCAAATTTGTACTAAAGTATATGGAATAGAGAAGTGATAAAATGGTACAATTATTTTTTGCAAAGTAGGGTTGCAATTTTTGTATCATTTTATGACTATTATTTTTTATTAATTGACGTTTATTACAATTAATAAAACTAATATTAATTATTATGATTCAACTCAACCCCCTTGCTTTCATTTTTTGACAACCCTACTTTTTCTTATTTAATACAATTGTTTGTAATTCATTCATAATAATATAAATACTATTTTCTCATTATAAGAACTATTAGTAAAAAGAGACAATAGAAATAAAACCTCCTATGACGATAAAATGAGAAGAAAAACAAAAATACAGATAACGGATATTATGATTGTACACCTAGAGAACCAATACCAAAAGACAAGACAAAAAAATGACAAAAAACCAATTAAGGCCATTGCAGTTAAATGCATTGTTTCCCGTTTCCTGCTGGAGTACTGCCACACCAAAATAGTTTTCATTAAATATCACTTATCTCTGTATACTCGTGTTGTTGAAACTTGTTGGCAGGCTGGAAGCTTGTTCTATGTAACAACCAGGTTTCACATTGATTTACAGCTCAAAGCTGCGAAGTTTTGTTCTCACTGTACTAGATATCTGTATAATAATAATTTTTGACTAGATTAACGTGGATGGTTTAATAGTGAATCTGGAACGGGCCGATGCACTCAGCCCTCCACAGGCCCAACTCAACGCTGGTTTCGCAGGAACTACGACTGAGGCGGGCTGTAAGTTTGTAAATAGCTTACTATTGTACTTGAATTAGTTTGTACAAGCACAGCAAAATTACAATGAAAAACAATGCATACAGTGAATTCAGTGAGTAACTTATACAAACAAGACTATTATAAGTTGTTAGTTTCTGGCCTGGAGGGGCTGATGGCAGGATGATAGAATGTTTTATTACAATTATGATGTATATATAACATGTACATACTAAGGCTCGGCAATATTGAGACTTTGATATGTTATGCTATCTTTAAAATACCTCGATATGGCTTACTACCTAGAATCAATAACAAGAACTTTTAACAGCTAAGTACAAGTACATGCATATGTAAGAGAGCATGAAATGTGTATAAATAACTACTGAAGGCCTTTCTACATAAAACTAGCACATTGATTAGACAACCAATGGCAGCTGAATCAGAAACACTATCAAAATATACACGATCCTAAAGATGGTGTGGAATCACTTGATGTGCCTTCAATGCACGTTGATGAGCTGACTTCTGGAACCAGTTCAAGTGTAGAAAGGCCTTTAAAACACCTGCAGTTGAATGTAATACCACAAAAATCAGACTAAACATGTTCAGCATGCATTAGTTCACTTACATATAATTTACTGTCTATGCATACAGGATTGGTTTATAGCATCACACACAATATTCATTACTGCCACTCCTGTATAAATATCGTTGATTAAAGTACCATAATAGCTTTCAGCCTTACTACATGCAATGGTAATTATTCATAGTGAAATGAGACCCATTGTATTTATTGAGTGTATGGCTTATTCTGAAAATTTTACTTCTGATGCTCAGCCTGTATGTTTTGTTGCTAAGCACAAAAATGTAATTCTTTCTAACTTTACTTCCTTCATTGACTGGAGTATTTTTTCATGGCATTGTTTTGTTTATACTGCATTACTTGTTTCTCTTTTAAGTAATTTAGCACTGCATTCTCAGTTTAAATCAGTACTATAGAGCTACTTTGTTTGAATATTAAAAGGCTGCTTGAAGCTGGTAATTATCGGGTGTGAAATAAGTGACAATGCAACTTTATTCTATGCTTTGTTTAGATTGCTGTCTATCAAGCTATATAGCTGTGTAGTTTCTGT